CTTCAGCCTAGATCACGATCTCGCGATTTGTGAGTTCAAGTCCGACATAGGGCTCTGGTGCTGACAGCTTGGAGCCTGGAGTCTGCCTCAGATTCTGTGTCTCCCTCTCTCTCTGCCCCTCCCCTGCTCATGCTCTGTCTCTCTCTGTCTCTCAAAAATAAATAAATGTTAAAAAAAATTAAAAAGAAAAAAAAAAGAAATTGCTGGATAGGGATGCCAAATGTTCACTCAAGACAGGCATTTCACCTATTCCATTGAAGGCCTCACTCTTACTCTGACAAGTGACAACTCAATCTAGTCTTTTAGAAATTTCTAGCATTTTCGTAGATGAAAAAGTAGCACCTCCTTGTAGTTTAATTAGTGTGTTTGTGAGAACTGGTGCAGTTCATCTGTAAAGAATATTTCATGGAGGGGCGTCTGGGTGGCTCAGTCGGTTAAGCGTCCGACTTCGGCTCAGACCATGATCTCATAGTTCGTGAGTTTGAGACCTGCCTTGGGCTCTCTGCTGTCAGCGCAGAGCCTGCTGAGGATCCTCTGTCCTCCTCTCTCTCTGCCCCTTCTCCGCTGGTTACCTCTATCTCAAAAAAAACAAAAAACCTTTAAAAGAAAAAAGAATATTTCATGGAAAAAATAATGAAAGAAAAAAATACACTTCACAGAGGAGTATGCACTCACTCTCCCTCTTGAGATCTGTGGGATCCGACCAGGAAGCATGGAGCTGTACGTTCTCTGGCCATCAAAGAGCTGCCAGCAATGATTGGCCAATGGAAATTAAAGCCCAGATGTCAATCCTGGCTTAAGATTACAATCTTGGCAAAGGGGGAAATAAATATGAGCAGAAAAAGTATTTGGATGGTGGAGAGAAAAGAGGGTTTCAGAGAAGTTTGGAAGCTATGAAATAGCTGAGAGAAGGGGGAATAAGGCAAATTTTTAAAAAGTAATATAGGTATAGATCACACCTTTTTCAGTGATTTTCTAGAGACTCAAAGACTGGAATAGCATTTTTAAATACTTTTGGTTGTTGAATTTGAATTTTATTAAGGACATTTGTAAACTCACCACAAGAGATCCCTGTACAAATGTATTGTCATTTTTATACATATCTATAGTAGTTTTTATCCCACTTGGGGTTCAATGAGCTTCATGGATTTGCGGACTGATTTTATCAATTTGGAAAGTTCTTGGACAGTATCAACTCAGATTTCCTGCTGCATTTTCTCTCTACTCTCCTTTTGGGATTCTAACTATACTATGTTAGATCATCTGACATTGTTTGACAGGTACTGGATGCTCTGTTCTACTCCCCTTGCTGCTCTTCTCTTTGTCCTTCAGTTGAGAAATTGTCTTTGATATATCTTTAAGTTTACAGAACACTTCTTCATTTGTATCTAGGCTGCTGTTAAGACAATCTAATGAATTCTTCATTTTAGATACAGTATTTTCATTTCTAGCATTTCCATTTAGTTCTTTTTCTACTTTTCAAGTCTCTGCTGAAATTTCTCATCTTTTCATATATGCTGTTCTCTTTTTGTTCAGATTCTTCAGCATTTATTTTAATGTTTATTCATCCTTGAGAGAGAGAGAGAGAGAGAGAGAGAGACAGAGAGACAGAGAGACAGAGCATGAGCGGGGGAGGGGCAGAGAGAGAGGGAGACACAGAATCCAAAGAAGGCTCCAGGCACTGAGCTGTCAGCACAGAGCCTGACGTAGGGCTCAAACTCACGAACCGCAGGATCATGACCTGAGCTGAAGCTGGACACTTAACTGACTGAGCCACTCAGGCGGCCCTGATTCTTCAGCATTTTTATTAGCTACTTAAAATTCTCCATTAGTTAATTTCAATATCTGGATCTAATTCTCTTGACTGGTTTTTTTTTTTTTT